TTAATATGTAATTAATGCATATATATCTGTAAAGATAACATATATTATATATACACATACATACGTCTCCTAGCGCTCTCTGTCCACTGAGAAGGCCTACAAGCACTGACACTCGAGGACCAATGAGCACACTTAAAACCCAGATCTTGGTTTTTAAATAACATAGAAAAGAAAATAGGGTTTCATGGATCCATCGCTGATTGCAGGACTAGGCAAGGTGATGCTGGAACATCTTATAGTCTAAGAATCCAAAAAGGTACTTAAAAAATGATAGGAACATGTCAAAATAATGTGGAAATCTACTTCAAAGAGTTACAACCAGCCAAATATGGGACAATTTAAGTTAAAAATATTAACAGAATGAATTAGGAATCCAAGAATCCATAAGGATATAAACAAAGAGGAGGGAAAGGTTTTTCTTACAGTAGAAATGCTAATTAATAAATGTGGAAAAAAGAATGAAAAATTATCATAATTACCATTTGGGCAATAACCATATCAATAACTATTTCAAGTAAGATTTATTAATAGCACAGATGAGACAAAATGGTAATTTTACAGCAGAGAAATCTGACAGGTACCACCTTAATAAAGTGATCAGAGTTAACATCATCAATATTGAGCAAAGAGGTATCTTATGCACCCAGATATGAGAAACTAACAAAGAGGGGTGTAACATCACCTCTGTAGTATTTCTGGTTAAAATGGATAATCTGAATCAAGTCCTAAGAAAACATCTGACAAACTCAAAGTGAAGGATATTCTACAAAATAAATAACTCATACTCTTCAAAAATATCAGTTTAATGTAAGACTAAGGAACGATAAGAGATTTAAGATTAGAGAAGCATGACAACTAAGAGCAACAAGTGATTGTGGATTAATACTGAAAAAGGGAAGTTTTTTGTTTTTGCTAAAAAGGAGTATTTATTAATGGTATTAATGTCAAAACTGTTGAAATTTAAATAAGTTATCTCAGGTAATTTTAATGTTAATTTCCTGATTTTGCTCATTATACTAAGGATATATAATAATTCCAAAGCAAAATCAAGAGGTACTTATAAAAATCCAGAAGTATAGGGGTGCCTGGGTGGCTCAGTGGGTTAAGCCTCTGCCTTCTGCTCAGGTCATGATCTCAGGGTCCTCGGATCAAGCCCCACATCGGGCTCTCTGCTCAGCAGGGAGCCTGCTTCCTCCCCTCTCTCTCTCTGCCTGCCTCTCTGCCTACTTATGATCTCTGTCAAATAAATAAATAACATCTTTAAAAAAAAAAAAAAATCCAGAAGTATAAAGTACTCGTTTCTGGCTTCACTTACATTATATTGTTAACATATTTTTTCCAATTCAACTATAAACATTTTATTTAAGAGTGGTGCCTGGGTGGCTAAGTTGGTTATGCATCTGCCTTCAGCTCAGGTCATGACTCCAAGATCCTGGGATCAAGCCCCAAGTCAGGGTCCTTGCTCAGCGGGAGCCTGCTTCTCTCTCTCTCCCTCTGCCTGCCATTCCCCCTGCTTGTGCACTCCCTCCCTCTCTGTCAAATAAATAAATAAAATTTTTAAAAAACATTTCTTTAAGAGTAATAAAATCCTATAGCTGTGCCATAGTTTCTCTACGTATTCTATCATGATTAAGAGTATTTTCCCAGAATTTTTACCTACATAAATAATACTGGCATATACTCTTTATTTCTTTTTATTAACATACAATGTATTATTTGTTTCAGGGCTTCAGTTATGTGATTCATCAGTGTTACACAATTCACAGCGCTCACCATAGCACATACCCTCCCCCACGTTCATCACCCAGCCAACCTATTTCTCCCACACCTCTCCCCTCCAGCAACCCTCAGTTTGTTTCCTAAGATTAAGAGTCTCTTATGGTTTGTCTCCCTCTCTGGTTTCTTCTTGTTTCATTTTTTCCCTCTCTTCCCCTATGATCCTCTGTCTTGCTTCTCAAATTCCTCATATCAGTGAGATCATACGATAATTGTCTTTCTTTGATTGACTTATTTCGCTTAGCATAATACTCTAGTACCTCTAGTTCTATCCACGTCGTTGCAAATGGCAAGATTTCATGGGGTTTTTGATGGCTGCATAATATTCCATCGTGTATATATACAACTTCTTTATTCATTCATCTGTTGATGAACATCTAGGCTCTTTCCTTAGTTTGGCTCTTGTGGACACTGCTGCTATAAACACTGGGGTGCATGTGGCATATAATCTTTAAACAATACTTTGAATCATTTCTTAAAATAAATTTCTATCCATATAATGATCACCTCACATTTTTAGCTTTCATCTTATGCATACATTGCCAAATGCTCTTCCTAGAAGACTACCAACTCTCTTCCCTTCCTTTTCCCTCTCCCAGACTCATCATGAACAACCACACACAGCAAAGGGTATTTCCAATTTTGAAAATTCCTGAGCCATATCTATTAGGTGACTCCTTTGGAACCTTATTATTACTTCATATCTTGCTTTTTATTATTTGGGAAGGTATTATTTCATATGTGACCTGGCCACTTGAATTTTCTTTTTTTTTTTTTAATTTTCACTTTTTTTTTTAACAATTTTTTTTTCTTTTCCATTTTTTTATCCTTGGATCTTTCATCAAAAGGACTACATGAGGGGTGCCTGGGTGGCTCAGTTGTTAAGGGTCTGCCTTCGGCTCAGGTCATGATCCCAGAGTCCTGGCATCAAGGCCCAAATCGGGCTCCCTGTTCAGTGGGAAGCCTGCTTCTCCCTCTCCCATACCCCCTGCTTGTATCCCCTCTCTAGCTGTCTCTCTCTGTCAAATAAATAAATAAAATCTTAAAAAAAAAAAAAAAAGATGAAATGGATATAAAAAGGTTTCATTATTTTGAAGCAATGAAATCAATTATCCGTCATACTTAAAATACCTTTCCTAGTCTTTTTTTTTTTAATATTTTTTATTTATTTATTTGACACAGATATCACGAGTAGGCAGAGAGGCAGGCAGAGAGAGTGAGCAGAGAACCCGACGTGGGGCTCGATCCCAGGAACCTGGGATCATGACCCGAGCTGAAGGCAGAGGCCCAACCCACTGAGCCACCCAGGCGCCCCTCCTTTCCTAGTCTTTAAAAAAAAAAAAAAAAAAATACCTTTCCTAGTCTTTTGAAATGTTGTTCATTGTTAAAATTCTGTTTATAAAAATACAGGCTTCTTTCTTAATTTTACAGGCCTATCATTATTTATATGATTATTTAGCTGATTTAGACTCTCACAGTAAGTGGTTTTTCCACAAATGGTTTCCTAGCTATCACAACACCATTTACTTAATCCCCACTTTCCCCACTGATCTGCATAACCACCTTTACCACAGGCTAATACATTCTTCAATAACTTTCAGTTGGATTTTAAATTTTATTGTGCTCCTTTTGTTATAGCAGTCTTAGAATACATTTTAATAATTTATTGGGTAAATGCCCTTGTGATTACTACACCTCTGAATCATTCAACCTACTAATGAACTTTAAAGCCAATTGGTCGCACTCCCTGCACTCTTAAAAAACACACTGAGTTTTTTTATGGAATCACATTAAATTAATAGTTATGGCAACTGATATATCCAAATTGTTCTATAATTGCTTTAATCTCAACATTTTTAATTTTCCTTGAAAATTATATATTTCATTAAGACTCGTTCTAATAGTATGCATAAGAATTGTCTAAATTATTTTAATCTACTACATATTATAAGTCAATTTCAATTAAATACTGAAATATTTTATATGAGCTCTTTTTTTATTTGTTCCCCTAAACGCACTATCTTAAGATTTTCCCAGCTTAAGGGTACCTACGTGACTCAGTCAGTTAAGTGTCCACTCTTGGTTTTGGCTGGGGTTATGATCTCAAGATTGCGCGACTGAGCCCCACATCAGTTCCACACACAGCGTGGATCTGCCTGAGATTCTCTCTCCCTTTCCCTCTGCCCCTTCTGCTTTTGCATTCTCTCCTCCCCACCCCTGCTTTCTACAATAAATGGATAAATCTTTTAAGTAAATAAATATATATCTTTAATGCAAAGAATTAAGTGAGACAAGTACTGATTCAACCAAGTTTCACTGACTTCACTCAAAAAATCACACAACACAAAGTCTTCATAATGGCTTAAGAAAGTCACGCACCAAGTGGCCTCTGTTAAGTTTTACCTCATTTCTACTTTTCTCCACCTTGATTACTTATTCCCAGCGACTATAGACTTCTAAACTATATTAGGCATGCTCCTACCTTGTCTTGTTTTAAAGAAAATACACATTAAAATATTTAGAGGTAAAGAATCATTATGTCTGTACCTAATTCAAACAATCCAAAGAAGAAAATTTGTATGTACATAAGCAAAAGAGAGAAAGAGAATGAACAAGCAAATGTGATCAAATGTTAACTTCTGGACAATCTAGATAAAGGATATAAAGGAATTCCTTTTACCATTTTGGTTACTTCTCTCTAAGTCTGAAATTATTTCAACGTAAAAAGTAAAACAAACAAACAAACAAAAAAGTCCAGCCTCAAAATCAGACTTGACAAATATCAGCATCCCCAAGTTAAAGATGGAGAAAGTGTCAAAACAATCAATTAATTAGAAAACAGTTGAAGCTGAAGTCTATTTTCTCAAATCTGTAGTTTACTTCCCACAGAAAAGGTTAACATTTCAACATAATGAGTATTTCATCAATAGACTATAAAGATCCCTGAGAAAAACAATGTGTGGTTATTCATAATCTGATCTTACTGTATTTCCTTCCTCACAAGGTCTGATGTTACTGGTATTTAAAAAATAAAATTTTTTTGACTCATCATTGATGAGCACATAAATAGTTGTTTATGCATCAGAAAAATCTAAGTCTAATCAATACCACAGCACTCAAATCAGTTATGTTTGTCACATTCCAGTAAACTAACCTATAATTTTTAAACTCAGGTGATTATATTCATTGTACCATGAAAATACACTGCTAAATATATCATTTACCTGAGAACTGCCACTGAAACCAGGAGGCTGGCTGTATTCTGTGGAATCAATAATACTACTGCAAAATGAAGAGAGAAAAATATGACATCAGTGTTTACATTACTCCAGCAACAGAAAAGGTAAACCTAAAAGATACACCATATCTAAGTCCAGTATTTCTAATTTCTAAGCAAAAAGAATATTTATTGCCAATAATTAGATATCAAATAAATGTATAACCCATAAACAAAAAAATCAGCCAGTATTTAAGCAATTTACAAACCCTTCACCCCACCACCTTAAACAAACAGACCATGAAAGAGTATCAATAGGGAATAATCACAAAACAGGTGTTACAGAAATGTATCTGCTCTAATTTCATTTTCAGATATGAACACTATTTAAGGAAAAAAGGACTTAAGAGTTATTAGGAAAAGAGCACAAGCAAGCAATCAAAGTTCCTGTTACGCCACTTAAGAGCTATATGTCCCTAGACACTTACTTTCTAAGCACTCCATTTCCTCATATTCAAAGTGAGATGAGTGGGGACTATCTCTACTGTATCTCTAGATTATCTCCAGGTCCAAAATGCTATGATAATAATCTCACATGAAGGAAAATTATCAAAGGAATGGGATAAATGGTAAAATACCAATAATCTTTTTTTTTTTTCTTCACGAACCAAAACCTATATACTAATTTTCTCTCCCTGATCAAAAACATAATCTGCGGGGCGCCTGGGTGGCTCAGTGGGTTAAAGCCTCTGCCTTCAGCTCAGGTCATGATCCCAGGATCCTGGGATCGAGCCCCACATCGGGCTCTCTGCTCAGTGGGGAGCCTGCTTCCCCCTCTCTCTCTGCCTGCCTCTCTGCCTACTTGTGATGTCTCTCTCTTTCTCTCTCTCTCTGTCACATAAATAAATAAAATCTTTAAAAAAAGAAAAAAGATCCACCTAATCTTGGAGATATGGAAAAAAGTGTCAGCCTGTGTGTGGAGAATTTCCTGTATTGTTACATTCCCTCTTGAATAAAGGAAATAAAAGACTAAACAAAAACAAGGTTTATGTAGGAAGATTTGTTTAAAATATATAATTACAGACATACGTGTAAGGATTAGAGTTAGACTTGACCACAAAAACATTTCAATTCCTGGGGTGCCTAGGTGGCTCAGTTGATTAAGCATCTGGGTCATGGGATCAAGCCCTGTGTTAAGCTCTGCGCTCAGACAGAGTCTCCTTAAGATTCCCTCCCTCTACCTTTCCCTCTGCCCTCCCCCCACTGGTCAGCTTTTTAAATAAATAAATAAAATCTCTTTAAAATTTTCAATCCTGGGGCACCTGGGTGGCTCAGTCGTTAAGCCTCTGCCTTCAGCTCAGGTCATGATTCCAAGATTCTGGGATCAAGCCCTGCATCAGGTTCCCTGCTCTACCGGAAACCTGCTTCTCCCTCTCCCACTCCCCCTGCTTGTGTTCCCTTTCTCGCTGTCTCTCTGTCAAATAAATAAATAAAATATTTTAAAAAAAGAAAAAGAAAAAAAAAGGAAGAAGAAAGAAAATTTCAATTCCTATATTTTAAAAAAGTTTTCTCCCCAAGTAAAATAAAGCAACTGAACTAATAATAAATGCCAAAATACCAAGAACTTAAGCATTAATATCTGAAGAAAGATCCATTAACACCGGGTCATAATCCAGCCAAAGACATAATATACAAGAATTAGGAACAGGGCAAGGTGAGCTCCTGAGTGGTACAGTCAGTTAAGCATTTGACTCTTGGTTTTGGTTGAGGTCCTGATTTCAGGGCCATCCAAAACCACCACCCACCACCACACATTTCTTTTCTTTTTATGACTGGAGGTAAATATAATTGCATAAGTAAACATAATCGTTCACTGACACAATTGAGCTAAAGAAGAATTTCATAATCTAGTCCACACCCATTATGAAATATCAAATTCCTTGAATTTCACTAGTTTACTCAAATTATAAATTCACAAAGTATTAACTCACAATGCTATGTATATATTCTTTTTTTTTTAAGATTTTATTTATTTATTTGTCAGAGAGAGAGAGAGCACACAAGCAGGCAGAGTGGCAGGCAGAGGCAGAGAGAGAAGTAGGCTCCCTGCCGAGCAAGGATCCCAATGCGGGACTTGATCCCAGCACCCTGGGATCATGACCTAAGCCGAAGGCAGCGGCTTAACCAAATGAGCCACCCAGGCGTCCCTGTATATATTCTTAATAATAAATAATTCTAACATTGATAAAGTGACCCTTTGCTTTTCCTTCCTATTATGACTACATTTTGATTCAACTGGACCTTTGTCAATAGAAACACAAATTAAAGGTAAGTCTCAAAAACATCTGTTAAAAGTAATTAAATAAAAGCAAAAGTGTCTTCCATAAAGTCTTACCTCCTTTTTATTTATAAACCTCCCTCTTCTACACCACAGACAACCTTAACAATTCAGATTTTAAACTTATAAATATGTCTTTCAAAAAAATTAATTAAATTCATGATCAGCTAAAGTTTCTTATGGGAAATGCCTGGGTGGTTCAGTCAGTTAAGCATCTGCCTTCAGCTCAGGTCATGATCCCAGGGTCCTGGGATCTAGTCCCACACCAGGCTCCACACTCAGTGGGGACCCTGCTTCACTCTGCCTGCTGCTCCTCCTCCTTGTGCGTGAATATGCTCTAACAAATAAATAAATAAAATCTTTAAAAAAAAAAAAGGGAATTCTCTTATGGGTAAAAAGATTTTAAGGATTGGAGAGTCTAAGAAAATTTTATTTACTGTATTTCCATTGTATTTATTTATTATTTTATCATAGGAAGACAAAAGTTATTCTGCAAATTTAATTCCAGTAACTATCTGGATCACATTAAAGCATATCTACCTTAAGCATATAGAGAAGTTTAAACTAATACATTATCTCCAAACTAAGTTATTTGAAGTTCTGAAAACACAGAGGTGAGAGACTGAAAATTGATGATTCTGAAATACTTGCTTAAAGACAAAGAATTTTAACACAATCATTTCTAAAACAGAAAACACATCAATAAGAAGCATTTAAAAATTTACAAGCATAATTACTGATCATGGTTTTAAAGAAGAATTAAAATCTAAATTTTAGATATTAGATTTTTTGGACCAAGAATGTTTTAACCTAAAAATCATCAACTATCTTTATCAAGAAGAAATCTGAACAAAAATGTTTCATTTTAATACTTAAAGTTTGAGTTAAAGTTAAAAATTAATATACTCTGTGCATAGTAATAATATATTAATATCATATATTACTAATCCTCTGAAAGAGTATATTAAGATAGATATGCTGATAGCTGTACTACCAGATAAAAGGACTAATCCCATTTGGCAAAAAGTAAAAAAGACCTGCTTGCCTACTATTCTCTAACTCACTCGTAATTTGACACATATATTTATGCAACAGCAAAGTACAAATTACAGCTCACTATGAATTGTGGAGACTTCCTCCCTCATAATCTAAAGCAGAATGAAAAAGGCCCTGAAAACAGTAATCTTCAGCTTAAATTAATTCTGATAAGAGAAATCTGTAATGGATGAAGGTTTCAAAGTGTTAAAAAAAAAAAAATTCAACACCAACTCCCTCCCCGTCAACCACACTCCAATGAAGCCTGGCTGACAGCTTCTGTTCTGTTGTTTTTTAAAGATTGCATAAATTTAATTATTAAGTATACTAAAGGTCATGCTTCAGTCAAAATCTAACAAACTAACAAAAATTAAATAAAATTCTTCTAATCAAAAACATATTTTAGGGTGCCTGGGTGGCTCAGTGGGTTAAAGCCTCTGCCTTTGGCTCGGGTCATAATCCCAGGGTCCTGGGATTGAGCTCCACATCGGGCTCTCTACTCAGTGGGGAGCATACTTCCCCTTCTCTCTCTGCCTGCCTCTCTGCCTACTTGTGATCTCTGTCTGTCAAATAAATAAATAAAATCTTAAAAAGTTAAAAAAAAAAATTTTAAGTCCTAATCTGTATAAATGGTCATATAAAAATAAAGGAGTATAAGAAAAACTAAATAGTCACAGAATTACAGTACACTATGGGAAATATACAAAACTAGTACACACCAACAGAAGCAGGAACAAAATAAATACATTTTGTTTTAAGTGTTTAATTCTATCGCCTCCTTCCTTTCTCCCCTTCAGTCTTTAGGGAAATGGTATATCAAAAAAGAACAGAGAAGAGTTTCCCCTTGGTTGGATTCTTGGGCAGTGGGGGGAGGAAAGGGTCACTTTGGGAAGGGAGAACTATGTAAGAGATGAATCCAGAAATTTCCAGGCAAAAGGAACAAGGTATAAGTAAAGGTATTTTAACATCCTGTTTCAGGAGTTAAATTTAATTCCAAAGCACAAAAAAAGATATGGAAGGCCATGCAAAAGAGCTGAATCTAAACCAACTTACATGCAGTGGAAAGCCACTGAAGGATTTTAAGCAGGAAAGAAACATGATCAGATTTCTTGCAATACACTGCAAAAGGATAGTTAAAAAGCCATTGCTAGGGCGCCTGGGTGGCTCAGTGGGTTAAGCAGCTGCCTTTGGCTCAGGTTATGATCTCAGGTCCCTGGGATCGAGTCCCGCATCGGGCTCTCTGCTCAGCAGGGAGCCTGCTTCCCTCTCTCTCTCTCTCTGCCTGCCTCTCCGTCTACTTGTGATCTCTCTCTGTCAAATAAATAAATAAAATCTTAAAAAAAAAAAAAAAGCCATTGCTAGACTCCATGTAATAAGGAGGGTCTAAACAGCAGGAAGAGAATACATACTATATGAAAATTAGAGCTAATCGTGGTATACAGAAGATAGAATCCTAGGGAGAGCAGAGTTAGAGAAAACAGTTACATGTCTTTTGTTTTTCTTCTCATTTCAATACATGATCTAATCATTAACTTAGAATCTACGTAAGGAATTCAATGACCAGACATATAAAAAGAGGTCCTCATTACAGAATAACTGAAATAACAAAAAGCAAAACTGTCTTACATTTAAATAATCAAGTTAATAATTATAGGGGAACAAAGTTACTATGACTGGAACTACATACTATTTCTTAAAAATAAAGAAAAATAAAATATTGATAGTATAACATAACATGTTTAATTTCACATCTCAATCTTAAGGGTCATTTCCTAAGAGTCCTTTAGGGCTACATCATTTTTCCCAAGTGTCTCTCTCAAACCTTGATATTCAAATTACTTGTCCCACAAAAATATCAAAATACTCTTTAAGTCCTATGTTTGCCTGTTTTCATTTCTTCAACTATTAACTAAGTTAACTCAGCCAGAACTTTATCTGACAACAGCTTTGTATAGGATTTTAGCAGTTCCCTGACAAAGTTTTCATAGACTTTATGAAATCCTGAATCTTTTGTTAAGATCTGCTACTTTTTTTTTTTTTTAAATAATTTATTTGACAGAGAGAGAAAGAGGGAGAGAGCAGACAGAGCACCCACTGAGCAGGGAGCCCAATGAGAGACTCGATATCAGGACCCTGGGATTATGACCTGCGCCAAAGGCAGACCCTTAACCAATTGAGCCACCCAGATACCCCTGCTTATTTTATTTTATAATCAACCATTTCTCATCTCTTCCTTCAATAAAATCCTAATCTAAGACATGATCTCCTCACTTCCAGACTGTATTTGCTTCCTAACTTTTACCACACTTCCAGCGGCAGAGGGTTGGGACAGAGTCTCTTCTCTATCCCCCACATGGGTACCCCAATAAACATTTTAAAATCTAAGTCAGATCCTGCTCAAAACTTTCCCATGATTTTTCTTTTTTAAAGATTTACTTAGTTTTGGGGGAATGGGGCAGAAGGAGAGGGAGAAAGAGTCTTAAACCGACTCTGCCCTCAGGGCAGTCTGACTAGGGGCTCACTCTAATGACCCTGAGATTACAACCTGAGCAGAACCCAAGAGTGGGACACTCAACTGACTATAGATCCTGGGGGCCCTGACTTTCTATGATATTTACACTTCATTCATCTGTCAGCTTAAATGTCAACTCCCAGAGAAGCCTGAGTATGCAAACTGACTGGAACTACATGCTATTTCCAGTCTTAATATGCCCTGATCTTTTTATCAAACCCCTAATATGTTTAATTTTTCTTCCTAATGTACTACTTACGTACTTTATAGTACTACTACTACATCATATATTTATTTGTTTAGTATCTCCCCAAGCCTCACACAGACACCTCCTAAAAGCTAAGCTTCATTAAGGGCAGGGACTATGCCAGCTATATTCCAACAAATACAACAGTGCCTAGCCCATATCAGAGTCATTCAATAAATAGAGCCAGTTAAATTAATATAATACTATATTGTCACATGTTACTAAAACCCACCAGTGAGAGACTGAATAACAAACCTGGACAAACAGAAAGAAATGCTACCATTAAACGAGAGGACAATGGGAACTGTCAGTGAGTATTTTGTGAGATGACAATTTTTGCTTACCTGCATACACTCACATAGTATTCCACTGACAAAGATCCCATGTATTTCAGAAAGGGAGCATTAACTTAAAGGTAACAATATCCCACAGACGGAGTCATTCCCAAGTGTTTTAAAGAAAACAAAATATAAAGGAGAAAAGTTGAATCACACGGCTAATAGGACTCTAGAATCCACTAGAACTCACAAGGATTCTCCAAAAATGGTTAATGAGGAAAATATCAAACACCCAGGAACCTTCATTAACTAGAAGGTCCCCTGTGCCCCTCTCTCCACAGATCAAACCAAGCTAGATCCACCATAGCCTTCCTAAACTGACACAGGTTTTGAAGGCTGCTGTAATCACTTGTAGTGGCACTGAACTGCCTAACAATTCACATCTTATTCTAAAACTAGTTGTTTGAAAAGAGTCCACTGAGCCATTATCCTAAATGGATTAACAAGATAAAAACATGTAAAACGGCTCTTACTTTGCACACTTCAAGCAGAAAGTTCAAATTCCAATTTTAGGTAGAATATATTTTATGGACTAGAACTTCAGAGCTAGAAGAACCATGGACATTTACTGTACTTCACAAATACTTAATGAACAAGGCCAGTCATTACTGCTACTCTAAAACCCAGGGAAACAATCACAAGCAAGACAAATACAATCCCTGTTTTAACAGAGCATATAGAAGAGAACACAAATTAAGAGCACAGAGTAATGAAGAAAATACCCAAGTTTTTAGGGGAAAAGCCCAAGGATTTACTTCATCAAATTTCTCCCTAATATTACCTACCATTTTTCATCTTCTCAAATTATAGACTTTTAAGGTCATTTGCTTTTAACTCACAAGATATTTAAAGCTACTATTATTTCAAGAAATTCACCAAACTTTTAATCCAACAGTGAATTCATAATAGTACAATATTCTGCTGTTCATGGCATGAAAATTCAAAGCATTAAGGAAACAGATGGGCCATCTGAATCTCATTTCTAGATCATGACCAAAAGCAATTTCTCAGGGGTTTTGTACATTACATGGAAAAGTTCCCAAGGACTAGTACCATATGTGCATTCTGCAACATAAATCCTAAGTAATTACAAGTTTGAAGCTTTGTACCTGTGTGATGGAGAAGGAGCTTCAAATTGAGGTACTGTGCTATCCTCACTGACAGGAGAGTACAAGCCGCTCATTTCCTGAAAACACAATTATTTGAGTTATAGTGGACACTCCAAACAGAAAATATGTAAGTCAGATAAGTGAGCTATATTACGTTCCCTTCCAATCCTAGATTTTTATCAGTCACATTTTTCTCAACATCCCTATTTCTCAAGGGTTCCTCTCCTCAGAGCACAAAAGCAAGATATCTAAAAGTTGAAAGACAACTTTTTCTATTGTAGACATTCTTAAAAAACTAGAAACTCTTTAATAAATATTGTTAATCACTAAGGAAGCCACCAAATGCAGAAAAAGACAAATGTAAATATTTCAAATGAGATGTACTATATTGTACAATAAGCTAAACATTAATCCAAGAGAGAACCCATTGATAAATATAACTAATGAAAGTATGGTACGTGAAGCATTAGGTTCAGCTCTTTTAAGTCCAGACGAACAGGGTATTTTGTTTACTTTAAAAACATCCTCTGAAAGCATTAAGTAACAGTCATCCTGATTCAAATATTACCATTTTAAAATAATGACTTAGGGCTCTCTGCTCAGCAGGGAGCCTGCTTCCTCCTCTCTATCTGCCTGCCTCTCTGCCTACTTGTGATCTCTGTCAAATAAATAAATAAAATCTTTAAATAAAATAATGACTTAAAGTCTAACGCATTACCTCAGAGGGAGAAGTCTCTTAATCAACCACTGTTGCATAAATTATGCACCTCCAAATCAAACCAACAACCTGGCCTTTTTTATGTGCTATTCTGATCAATGGGAAAGCAGAAATTTTAAAATCCCACTAAAGATACATAATCAGGTAGAATTACATCTGTTTAATCCAAGTTCAGTTCAGTAACACAGCCAACATGGGACATAAGCATAGTAGTAACAAGTTAAGAATGCCACATGGGATAATGAATTTCCACAAAATATTAAACTCAAGATCATTTTACATGTCTACATATCAGCAAAAGAAAGTTACAACATGTGAACAATTTAAAACACACACTAAATTTAAATGAAGCTCAGAAAATAATATCACAACATAATAGCCTATGAGCCTCCAAGAGATCTTCCTATTGATTTCCGTAAATTATATTATACTATAAATGCCTAGATTATTATTCACGTGTTTTCATAACTCTTTGTAAATTAACCTTAGCACAGTAGATACATAAAAAATTATTTACTTAGTAAAAGTAAAAAAAAAATTTACTTTTACTAAGTAAAAGCAAAATAATTTACTTTTTCTTAGTAAAAGTAAAATAATTTACTTTTACTTAGTAAAAGTAAAAAAAAAATTCATTAAAATTACAATGTCTTTTACTACAAAAAGACATTGTAATTTTAATGATAATCGAGGGTTTTGTGGGAGTTAAGTTACTATGATACCATACCAAGAAAACTAAATGATTTTTTCAATCTACCCAAGAATAATTATGGCAATAAAGCAGTGAAAACAAATTTAGAATACATTTAATCATAAAGTGTTCAGAACGCTTTTTCTACAGAAATGTACTCTGAATTAAAATTTAAGTAACATCTGTTACATTTTATATAGTGGAAACAAATCCCATAAATTCAATGCAGTAATTTAAAGGGAAAGTGACAATTTCACGAAACTGAAAATTGCTAGAGATGTGAGAAATTCCTGATTTCTTACTTCCACTCTTTTAATATCCTCTTCCAAAACACTCAGCTCCTTCTGGATCTGTTCCAGTTGCTGCAGACAAAATAGAGAGGGGGGATAAAAAGCTTAAACCAAATCACACTGGCATCACCGTGATCATAAAATAACTTTACACTTGGAAAATAATTTCTAGAAAATTGGACAGTAACAACAGACTGCAGGGATGAAAAATTGCAGACAAAAAGAGCTGCAAGTTCTATGTTAAAAAATACAGAGAAACTTAATGACTTTATTCATTATTCAGATAAAAATGATCAACAAAATTGACAGTGTGACTTAAAAAAAAACAGGAAACATACAACGACTTTCCAATTACCTCATTTGGTTGCAATTAATGTCAGCATGTGAGCTATTAACTCCATTTTAAAATAAAAATTAGTTTCACAGAGGTTATAGCCAAAAGCAATCACAAGTTAGCATCTTAACATTTGTCTCTTAAGCATTTTTTAAGACATGTTTAAAGATAATGCTTCATCTGGGGCGCCTGAGTGGCTCAGTCAGTTAAACATCTGCCTTCCGCTCAGGTCATGATCCTAAGATCCTGGGTTCAGACCATATCCCCCTATCTGGCTCCCTACACAGCAGGGAGTCTGCTTCTCACCCTCCCTTTACCCCTCTCTCTGCTGGTGCACACACTCTCCTTCCAGCAAGCTTGCTCTCTCTGTCAAATAAATAAAATCTTAAAAAAATAAGATAATGCTTTGTCTTTGATATCTTATCTACGTGCATCATAACATTTTCCTATGACATTAAAATGCAAACATTTTAACTGCTGAATCAAATTCAACAATCTATTTTTTTTAAAGATTTTATTTATGTATTTGACAGACAGAGATCACAAATAGGCAGAGAGGCAGGCAGAGAGAGAGAGGGAAGCAGGCTCCCTGCTGAGCAAAGATCCCGATGTGGGGCTCGATTCCAGGACCCTGAGATCATGATCCAAGCTGAAGGCAGAGATTTAACCCACTGAGCTACCCAGGTGCCCCTCAACAATGTATTTAACCATTATCATCTTACTAGAGATTTAAGTTATTGCCTGAGTAATTCTGGAACATAAGCCTGCATTTCAATTTTTATTAAAAGATTATTAAAAATGAAGTTATTCGGGGTGCCTGGCTGGCTCAGTGGATTAAAGTCTCTGCCTTCAGCCCAGGTCATGATCCCACATGGGGCTCTCTGCTCAGCAGGAAGCCTGCTTCCTCCTCTTTCTCTGCCTGCCTCTCTGCCTACTTGTGATCTCTCTGTCAAATAAATAAATAAAATCTTAAAAAAAAAAAAAAATTTTTTAAATGAAGTTATTCAACCAAAAATAGAGTTAGGAAAGCTTCACTATGTGAAATGGCTTCCCAGAAACACTACACAAATTTAAATTTCTATCACCAGTATCTATAAGTGGCTGTCTTAATCTAAACCAAATACATTGAACCAGTTTTTAAACTGTAAAATAACAATTATGAATACTTGTGTAATATTTATCATAAGATGTGACATAAGTACTATTACACATTAGGAAAATGAAAAGCACAGAAAGGTTAGGTGAATTGACCAAGATCATACAACATCTAAGTGGCAGAAATGGTATTCAAATTATGGCAGTCCCCTTGCTCCAGAATTCCTGCTGTTACTCATTATGCTATAGTACTTCTTGAAAACAGTAAATTATTTAACTTTTCATTTCTTTCATGACTAGAAAGGGTAAACAGACTTTTAAGGTTTATTAACATTAGCACCCTCTCTTCTATGACAATCCATACATAATTGGTAATACAATTGGTAACTTCTTAATTCAAATATTTACCAGTGCTAAGCATTTTACTAAGCAGTGGGAAGAACAGGATTTAGAAAACTATAGTCCTAGGGGCATGTGCACCCCAATGTTATAGAAGGACTTATAGCAGCAATGTCCACTAGCCAAACTATGGAAAGAGCCCAGATGTCCATCAACAGATGAATGGATAAAGACCACACACACACACACACACACACACACACACAATGAAATATTATGCAGCCTCAAAAAAAAAAACGCCAAAATCTTGCCATTTGAAACAATGTGGATGGAACTAGAGGGTAGTATGTTAAGCGAAATAAGTCAATCAGGGAAAGACAATTATCATATGATCTCATTGATATGAGGAATTTCAGGAACAAGACAGAGGATCACAGGGGAAGAGAGGGAAAAATGAAATAAGATGAAACCAGAGAGTGAGAGAAACCATAAGAAACTCTTTAATCTCAGGAAACTGAGGGTTGCTGGAGGGAAGGGGAGTGGGAGCAATAGGGTGGCTGGGTGATGGACATGGGGGAGGGTATGTGCTATACCCGGTGCTGTGAATTGTGTAAGACTGATGAATCACAGACCTATACCTCTGAAACAAATAATACATTATATGTTAATCTTAAAAAAGAAAGAAAGAAAAGAAAACTATAGACCTTGCCCTCATGGAACTCAGTCCAGGGAAGAGAACTAACAAGTAAGCCAACAACTGAAATATCATAGTAAATATTATGATGATGGTATGCATACAGAATTTAAGGTAAGGCTGCTTCTAACCTAGATGGAAAACTAGGGAAGAGTAGAGAGGCAACTGGATAAGTGAAGTTAGATCTGAAAGTAAATGAAATGAAAGTAAATTAGCCTTGAAGGACTTAAAGAATTTTGCTAGGGAAAACCATGAGGAAAGAGAATAAACAGGATAAAAAATAATACACTAAAGACATATAAGCTATGAGAAAGGAGAATAATAAATCTGAAGCTATGATAATTAAATCATCCAATGTCACCAGTACAGTCAGCAGAAATGAGAAATAAATAAATAAATAAATAAATAAATAGCAAGATGGTAGGAAGAACACCAATGTTTTAAGAGATGGGCAAAGAAAGAAAGAGCAATTTTCCATTAACTATCAAGAAGTACAAAATGGTAGCCACAAAACCAAAAGACAACACAGCATACTATTATAGAAACCATGGAACATTGAGGGGAGAGTGTAAAAAAAGTAATTAGCATTGTCAAATGCTTTCAATTCTTACATCCAGCTTAATAAACTATTCTGCACCCTAAAATTTTTCACACCATATTCCCACTTTAACCAAACCTTGCTCTCCCTCAAAGACACAGTCTGTCTCAGAACTCTTTTAAATAAAAACTGATCAACTGATAAACTCTCACACCCCATGTCCATTTCCAAAAATTAGTCTTCCACTCCAAACCACTCTGATCTGGCTCAATCCAAGCAATGAAATCACTCTACTGATCTTAGCCATCTACAAAACATCCCGGTCATTTCCTACCATCACTGATACCTGTTGTCTTTTGCCTTTTGGTTCATGCATATTTTCAACACCAGCGATCCTAATCTCTAACTCAGAAAAAGCATCCCGTGGTCACCAATTAACCTTTTTCATTAATTACCCTGAAATGCTCCATTCTTCAAAACCTTATTTACACAAATGCTGAGAGTCTTTAATATGACTGTTTTAAAAAATACATTTAAAGGAAAGATAAAATCAACATTTATAATATCAACATCCAGAGATAGCCAATATCACTGATGTGATACATAATACATAATTAAGATCATATTAATAATTTCATTCCAGTTTTGAGCTTGAAACACCAGAGAAAAATTTCCAGTATCACCTGAAATCCCAAAATAGTAAACTCTAATGCCCTATTCTCTAAGGATAATGCCCCACCCTCTTAGTACCCCAAAGCTTATGCTGGACAACACATCTACTATTATATATGGATGTTGCTTTACATGAGGTAAACTTATTTTTTTGAAGACAATAATTTTATTCACAATCAAAAATCCAGGGAATATAAAAATAAAAATACTATAAAATCTAAAAAATAAAGGATTAAACTAGTAAGATACAAATGCTGCCCTAAGATAGAGAACATAAGATGATGCAACGTACCTATGTAAAAAAGTCTGGAAAAGGGTCAAGACAAAAAAAATTTGTTACAGTTTAGAGAAATGGAAATCACTTAGCACATACTAAATTTGAGGCATTTGTATTTAATGAGATTCTAAGGGTGCTTGGCTAAGTATTAGGGCACTGTGATAACTGTCATTTTAATAAAAAATATATAATTGGTCAGCTCCTGTCCACAGCTCCTAAAACCCTTAATGTTAAGTTTCCATCCACTTAATGACATGCCTGGGGGCTAAGGGCTCCTGCAGAACCCCAAATGAGGGCTGGTTGCCAAGGAAACCAACCATACAGGTTGGTGAACACGTGGAGATGCTGAGAGGGTGGCATGCCTTGACAGTGTATGGAAGTTCTACATCCCTTCTCCTATACCTTGCTCTGTGCATCTCTTCCATCTAGCTGTTCCTGAGCTGTATATTCTTTTATAATGAAGTGGTATCCCAGCAAGTAACTGTTCTCCTGAGTTTGGTAAGCCATTCTAGCAAATTATCAAACCCAAAGAGGAGATCATAGGAACCTCCAATTTATAGTCACTCCGAAGAACAGGTGACAAGGTGGACTTGCACTTAGCATCTGAAGTGGCATCAACCTTGTAAGACTGCGCCATTAACCTGTAGACTCTGAGGCAAACACCAGGTAGAAAAGTATCAGAATTGAACTGAATTGGGGGACACTCACTTGGTGTCCACAGAGAACTTAAGAATTGCTTAGCGTAAAAATCACTCACACAGGGGCGCCTGGGTGGCTCAGAGGGTTGGGCCTCTGCCTTTGGCTCAGGTCATGGTCTCAGGGTCCTGGGATCGAGCCCCGCATTGGGCTCTCTGCCCAGCGGGGAGCCTGCTTCCCCCTTCTCTCTGCCTGCCTCTCTGCCTACTTGTGATCTCTATCCATCAAATAAATAAATTAAATAAATACAGTTTTAAAAAATCACTCACACATCTGGTGGCCAGAAGTGTAAGAGCAGAGTGATGAATATAATGGAAGCAAGTGTTTCAGGCATCAATGCAAGACATGATAGTACTAAAAAAGAGAAGAAAGACAAAGGTGAACAATTTAGTGGAATTGGAAAGAAAAATTAATCTAAATTCACCCT